CCCCGATAGCTCAGTTTGGCCGGATGGCCAGCTCTAGGAAGGGTTCTGGTCGTCCCAAACGTCTTCCATTTATGGATTATGGAGGCCACTGTGCTCTTAGGAACCTTAAGTGCAGCAGAAATTTTTTTGTAACCTTGGCCAGATCTGTGCCTTGCCACAATTCTGTCTCTGAGCTCTTCAGGCAGTTCCTTTGACCTCATGATTCTCATTTGCTCTGACATGCACTGTGAGCTGTAGGGTCTTATATAGACAGGTGTGTGGCTTTTCCTAATCACGTCCAATCAGTATAATCAAACACAGCTGGACTCAAATGAAGGTGTAGAACCATCTCTGGGATGATCAGAAGAAATGGACAGCACCTAAGTTAAATATATGAGTGTCACAGCAAAGGGTCTGAATACTTATGACCATGTGATATTTCAGTTTTTCTTTTTTAATAAATCAGCAAAAATGTCAAAAATTCTGTGTTTTTCTGTCAATATGGGGTGCTGTGTGTACATTAATGAGGAAAAAAATGAACTTAAATGATTTTAGCATATGGCTGCAATATAACAGAGTGAAAAATTTAAGGGGGTCTGAATACTTTCCGTACCCACTGTACCTACAGTAGCACCCAGCTGAGCCCCAGCTCAGTCAGCCCCCACTGCAGTTTCACACTCCTCCTTTCACAGTTTCCTGTAAAAAGAAAACTTTTCACAAGCAGAGCATTTGTTCTTCAACAGCCACATTTATAATATAGTTGTTTTGCTGACATTTGTGTTTGAACTTCATCTGGATGTGGTGGAAACAGATGCGTTTTAGCTGTACTCATATGTGTTTTTCTAACTTTTTCTGTCATCACTCGATTTAAATGTCGAGCTAGTTGATCTCACAACACACCTGTGGTCATCAACTGGTGTTTTAGTTTATTTTGTATGAAACCAATGTGATTGTAAAGTAATCATTTTATCAGCAGCTTACCAGTGACTGCTGGCCAACATATCCTGGGTTGCAACTATGGATTGTTTTTATTATTTTGAATGTGCTGATTATTTTCTTGATAAGCTGACTTTGCCCATAAAATAATTGTGAAAATCTCTGAAAAGAAAAGCATCAAAGCCTCACATTAAAGAAGCTTCCGCCAGAAAATGTTTGGCAATTTTGCTTGAAAATGTACTTAGACAATTAATCGGTTGTCGTTAAACGGTCTTAGCATTGCCAACACAAATTATCTATTATCTTCACAGTGTAGCTTTAAAAAAAAAAAAAAAAAAACACAAGCAGGGAGCAAAAATTCTGCTCAACTCAGTTTTTGTGTGCAGTGCTTCATTTTGTGTGTGAGGTGTTTTGCACTTTCGGTGTGTGGTTCTGTCAATTGCCTCCCTCATTCACTTTTCACCCTCTTTCTCTCCCACTAACTACCAATAGGAAAAACTACTTTTGCTGTACAAATGCTGCTCAACTCACTCCCACTAATTACCAATAGGAAAAACTACTTTTGCTGTACAAATGCTGCTCAACTCACCAGAACTCTAGATATGTTTTCTGCTTTGCACCCATGCTGCTATTAACATAATACATTTGCAAAACACTCTACACAGCTCTCTACATATCTGCCATAAAATCATTTGTTTGCCATTTCAGAACACTGCCTTTCAAAATGCCACTCTCAATCAATTACAATAAACTTGTGTCACCTGGCCAAACACCTAATTGCTTAATTGTTAATTAATTAGAATGTTAGCACTACAAAAAAGACCACAGGTGAGTACCTGTTGACAGCAACAGTAGAAGTCTATCTAGCAGGTGGAGGTAGAGGTTGAAACAGAGGGGGATGAGGAAGAGCTGGGGTCTCTTTTACAAGCAATGATGGCCAAGGCCTGAATAGGACATTCAAGGCGTTTCTTCCCTCACTGTCCAGCCATGGAGAACAGTGGCTGTGATGCCGATGAGGTTCTATGGCCAGACTGAACAGACCAATCTAGCAATTTTTGGCTTTACTCTTTATGCATTAAACTGTAACTTACTATGCATCAGAATGAGTTGAACCGTGAACACTCACTAAAGGTTGTTCATTTTAGTACAGGTAAACAGGAATTTTCCTTCACAAGGAAAAAAACAAATCTATATTTTTGTAGTGAAAATTGTATTTTGTGCGGATTTATGTGCATTTCAGTGGCC